TGTAAATATACATAACCCTTTGTTCTTCGGTCACAAGGTCATGTCCGAATCTTTGCAACCTCATGGACCACAGCATGCCAGGCCCCTCTCTGTCCTTCATTCTCTCCAGAAACTTGCCAAAATTCACGTTCATTGGGTCAATGACACCATTATTATTATTATTATTATTATTTATTGAATTTATATACCGCCCTATCTCCCTTACGGGACTCAGGGCAGTGAACAGGCGATAATAAAAACCACGATAAATATACACAAATTTCTGTTCTAAAATCAAATTAAATAACAGGCCTGCTCTAAAAGTACCCCATACAAAACCCCCACTAAAACATAATCAAACTACGCCAGGCCGGCCACACGGAATAGATGGGCCTTCAGGGCTCGGCGAAAAAGGCGCAGGTCCGCAACTGTACGTAGGTCGGGGGGTACGTCATTCCAGAGGGCAGGAGCTGCCACAGAGAAGGCTCTCCCCCTGGGGGTCGCCAGCCGGCATTGTCTGGCCGATGGCACCCTAAGGAGGCCCTCTCTGTGGGAGCGGACTGGTCGAAGGGAGGTGTTTGGTAGGAGGCGGTCTTGCAAATACCTAGGTCCATTGCCACGGAGCGCTTTAAAGGTTGTTACTAACACCTTGAAGCGCACCCGAAAGGCCACAGGCAGCCAGTGCAGCTTGCGCAGGAGAGGTGTTACATGGGAGCATCTAGAGGCCCCCAGGATCCCCCGCGCGGCCGCATTCTGAACTAGCTGGAGCCTCCAGGTGCACCTCAAGGGGAGCCCCATGTAGAGACCATTGCAATAGTCCAGGCGGGAAACAACGAGGGTTTGAGTGACCGTGCGTAGAGTGTCACAATCCAGAAAGGGGCGCAACTGGCGTATCAGGCGAACCTGATGAAAAGCCCCCCTGGCCACGGCTGTCATATGGTCATCTAAAGACAGCCGAGTATCCAGGAGGACGCCCAGTTTGAGGGCCCTCTCCGCGGGGGCTAATGACTCGCCCCCTATAGCCAGGGATGGAGCCAACTGGCTATGTCGTGACGCCGGAAACCACAGCCACTCGGTCTTGGACGGGTTGAGTCGAAGCCTGTTCCTCCCCATCCACCATCTCATCCTCTGCCGTGCCTTTGCGCTCACCATAAAACGAGATCTACCTTGTGCAGTTATTCAGGGTGTTGTTGTTAGTTGTGAAGTCGTGTCCAACCCATCGCGACCCCATGGACAACATTCCTCCAGGCCTTCCTGTCCTCTACCATCTTCTGGAGTCCATTTAAGCTCACGCCTACTGCTTCAGTGACTCCATCCAGCCACCTCAATCTCTGTCGTCCCCTTCTTCTGTTGCCCTCAATCTTTCCCAGCATCAGGCTCTTCTCCAGTGAGTCCTTCCTTCTCATTAGGTGGCCAAAGTACTTGAGTTTCAACTTCAGGATCTGGCCTTCTAAAGAGCAGTCAGGGTTGAGCTCCTATAGCACTGACCAGTTGGATCGCCTTGCAGTCCAGGGGACTCGCAGGAGTCTTCTCCAGCACCAGAGTTCAAAGGCCTCCATTCTTTGGCACTCAGCCTTTCTTACGGTCCAACTTTCACAGCCATACATTGCAACTGGGAAAACCATGGCCTTGACTATACACGCTTTTGTTGGCAGGGTGATGTCTCTGGTTTTTAGTATGCTGTCTAGATTTAGTATGCTGTCTAGATCATGGCTTTCCTCCCCAGGAACAAGCGTCTTCTAATTTCTTGGCTGCAGTCCCCATCTGCGGTGATCTTGGAGCCCAGGAAGATAAAATCAGTCACTACCTCCATTTCTTCCCCATCTATTTGCCAGGAATTGAGAGGGCCGGATGCCATGATTTTGGTTTTCTTAATGTTGAGTTTCAAGCCAACTTTTGCACTCTCCTTCTTCACCCGCATCAAGAGGCTCTTTAGTTCCTCTTCACTTTCTGCCATTAGAATGGTATCATCTGCATATCTTAGGTTGTTGATATTTCTCCCGGCAATCTTAATTCCAACTTTTGATTCATCTAGCCCTGCCTTTCTCATGATGTGCTCTGCATAGAAGTTAAATAGGCAGGGCGACAGTATACAGCCTTGCCGGACTCCTTTCCCAATTTTGGTACCCATCCATTAATCCTTTTTTGGGGGGGGAAACCCCACAAAAAGTCACCCATTTCTCCATGACGTGCTTTTGTCAGTTGGAAATAAGAGCAAGCTGGGGCCTAGGTTTTCTTTGCTTGTTTGTTTTTCCAGTTTTTTCCAGACTGTTTTCCAAAAGAGATGAGGAAATTGTTTCAAAATTGCAGAGAAATCTTCTTTTTGGAAAAGCACTTCACATAAAAGAAAAGTCAACATTTACCTGGCCTTTGAGCAGAGGTTGAGCGCTGCATGAAAGTTCAGCCAAGTTTTTTTCTTGCCACAACGCAATCGGAGCAGGAGAATTTTTACTAATGTTTTTGAGAAGATTTTAAGGACAGGAACCTCCTCCTGGTGAAGATATATAAGACAGGTCCTGCTGAATACGGCATTCCAGAGAGAGAGAGAGAGAGACCCTGGCAGACCTGCGGTTTTGCGAAAGATACAGGTAAGTGCAGACTTTTTGGCTTTCCTTGCACAAGCTGAATGTTGGTGCATTTGGCAAAAACTGGGGGCAAAGGGGAGGCTGGGAATCACTGCCAGGAAGGCTGGATCCGGTCTGCAAAAGATAACACCGGTTTGATTCCCCTTCTTCCAAATGTCTAGTCCTTAAGAGTCTTGAATTGAGAAGTAGAAATTTCGGGCCCCAAACAAGCATGTTTCCTACAGAGGTGCCCATTTGGGAAGAAAGAGAAACGGCAAGAACAAGCAAACAAGAAATCATGGCTAGGGGACCATGATAGGGGACTTCTTGGGGGTTGCAAAATGACAGGAGGGAGGGAGGGAGGGAAGGAAGGAGATGAGAGTGGAGAGAAATAGGAAGGAAAAAGAAAGAGGAAAGGGAAGAATAAAAAAAGGAGGGAGGGAGGGAGGGAGGGAGGGAGGAAAGAAGGAAGGAAGGAAGGAAGGAAGGAAGGAAGGAAGGAAGGAAGGAAGGAGATGGAAGTGAGAAAAGGAAGGGAGGAGGAAGGGAGGAGAGAGGGAGGGAAGGAAGGAAGGATGGAGATGAGAATGAAGAGAAGTAGGAAGGAAAAAGTAAGAGAAAGGGAAGACTGAAAAAAGGAGGAAGGAAGGAAAGAAGGAAAAAGAAAAGTGAAAAAAGAAGGGAAGGAAGGAGAAAAAGTGGAACAACGGACATGAGAGTCGAGCGAAGCAGGAAGGACAGGAAAGGAAATAATGAAAAAGGGAGAAAAGGAGGGAAGGAAGGAAGAAAGGAAGGAAGGAACAAAAAACCAAAGGGAGGGTGGGAATCACAACC